TAGTACTGTGATTTGATCCTCTCTTTCTTGGCCATTGGCTTCTGAAGTTCCTCTGGGTTCCATATTGTCCTTCAAACTGTATAAAATCAACACAAAACTGCTGGGGGAGGTTATCTGAAGTTTTGGAGTGTGAGGTCACTATAAGTAGATCCAGGGCCTTTTTTCAGCAGGAACTCACCGGACCTCAGATCTAGCACCTCTCAGGTGGGTGTCATTGCCATTATAAGAGAAGAAGGGAGGCAATCGTGGTAAATTCTGGTACCTCTTTTTCTAGAAAAGCAGCGCTGAGCAGATCTTTCCTTTTTATTAAATCATAGGATACTTGCACTGACTAAACATTTGCAACAAATACTTATACCAACTAAACCGTGGGTAGGCAAACTAAGGCCCGGGGGCCGGATCTGGCCCAATCGCCTTCTAAATCCGGCCCATGGATGGTCCAGGAATCAGCGTCTTTTTACATAAGTAGAATGTGTCCTTTTATTGAAAATGCGTCTCTGGGTTATTTGTGGAGCCTGCCTGGTGTTTTTACATGAGTAGAATGTGTCCTTTTATTGAAAATGCATCTCTGGGTTATTTGTGGGGCAGAGGAATTTGTTCATTCCCCCCCCCAAAAAAAAATATAGTCCGGCCCTCCACAAGGTCTGAGGGACAGTGGACCAGCCCCTGCTGAAAAAGTTTGCTGACCCCTGAACATTTGTGACAAATGCTTGCACTGACTAAACATTTGTAACAGCATGGTTGAATTGCTCCCATAATCTCTTTTGTTTGTCTTTTAAACTCATTACAGGCAAGTGGGAATTGGTATGGCAACCACATCACTTGGGGGGTGGATGTCTGTCCTTGCCCTTTGCAGCAATGACTCCCCCTACCCTGCAGCTACAAGACTTAGTAAAAAAGAAAATTCCATGGGCACCAATGCAAACCTTTTTTACTAAGCCTTATAGCTGCACAGGGCGTCAGTTTTTGGAGGGAGCACCAGCAGGGCGGGAAGGAATAAATCGTTCCTTATGCTCCACACTTCCAATTTAAGTTGTCCCTGTTATTAAGTAAAGGAACACCAGAGCTGTAGATGCACATTATAGTTATGGCCTATGCTTTTCATCACTCTTTCCTGTTTAGTTAAAAAGAAACAAAAAATCACCCATGGAATTGTTAGTTTCTTAGTTTCTGCTGTGGCATTTTATTGCTGCTGCTTGTGTTTTTATAATTGTTTTGATATTTTAATTAATATTTATTGATTTTGTTTTGTGGGGTGTTTTAATTATGAATTTCACCTCTATACCACTTTGGAGGCTCTTTGCCAAAAAGTGGCCTACATATCTTTTTTAAAAAACCCGTTTAAAAGTAATCGCTTGTGCTTTAATGGATATGAGCACAATTTAAGGATATTACCGTATTTTTTGGTGTATAAGACAGACTAGGTTTTTTCCCTAAAAAATAATGTCAAAAATTAGGGGGTGTCTTATACATGGGGCCTTTCCCCCCCATTTTCTTAAATCTGAGTCCCCCAAAATACGGGGCGTCTTATACATAGGTTTGTCTCATAGATGGAGAAATATGGTACTTAATGAAGGTGTTTAAGCCATTTTTTATTTAGCTCATCTATTTCTGATGGTAATAGTTTTAGACACTAAATTGCATGTGAACACTTGAGGTTTTCTGACAGGGAAATAGAAGTATATGGTGGTTATGAAAAAAAATCCTGATTTTCCATTTCTGTCTTTAAATACGCACCTGGAAATGTGGCTGGCCACACCTAGTACGAAACTTTGGCCACGGCATGGGGCTCTAACCATTGCCAAAGTAGTTTTAAGTATTCCGGAAGAAAATTGGAGTAGGGTCCTCCTTAATAGTAATAAATAATATTAGTTAAGGTTTGCTTAGGGAAAAGTGTTCTCTGAAATTTTGATCCTATCTCCTGGCTGTGAATAGGACATCAAAATACCCATGGTATTGTGTTAAATTACGAATGGTGCTAGCTATACTGAAAATAGGATCTGGGGAAAGATCTGATTGTTTTCTGACTTTGCTCAAACATGGTATATTTGTGTGACTTTTTATCTTCTATCATTTTTATCACAAGGGACATTCTATTTATTGGACCACAGTTCCACCTTCTCTAACTTTTCTGATGTGATGGTGAGTGTTTTTGATCTGTGTGGATAAGATTCCAATACATCAAGTTGCAATTCAGCAGGAATCTTCTGTTTGCTTGTCAACATGGTGATATACAACTTTGAGATTAACTTATGCCAAATCTGCAGAGGGTGAAAAATGTCTTGCATTGTACAAATTTGGCTGCTCTCACACATTGTTTTAAATAGCATTCCATAAGCTTGACAGTCTCATTAGCAATGCTACCATCTTTTCTTTTTCCCACTTTTTTCTTTTTTGCAATTACTATACATCTGCAGTAATAAGTCACATTTTAAACTAACACAGTTACTCGTGAAAAGAGATCTGCAACTTTTGATTAATGAGACACAACTGAACAACAAGGGAGAAAGGGGTGCTTTCTGGGCTATAGTCAGCCATCTTTAACTGGGGTTTCTTAGGACTTAAGCATCATGGGATTAACACATAGTGTTAGTCGTCTGAATATTCTGGTTTATAACATACTGTTAGAACAGTAGTCCTGGCCATTTAGCATGTCTCCATCATATTCAAACCATGTAATCAAACCACACAGACTAAGCTAAATAAACCACATCATATTGTGCCACAGAAAGAGAGGGACAGAAAGCAGGGAGGAGAGGTACAATGTCCGCGTGTGATGATGCATATCAAAATGTCCGCAGAACAGACAACAAAGCAAGCGCGACAATATTGTGTGGAATAGGAGAGACTTCCAAAATTCCTGTGTCATAAAACAATTGAACTGATTTTTTTCCATTTTCATTTTAATCTCACCCACTCAAATAAGCCAGTTACAACTTGAATGATGAAGCAACATTTCTGCACAAAAGGAGTAGGGGAAATTGTAGGGAACACAGGAAGATGCATTGATCCTCCTAGCTCAGCATTGTCTACTGCCTTTAAATGGCTTTCTAGGATATCAGACAGGAAGTGCCTTCCTGCTCTCAGTGGCGTACGAACGTGGGGGCAGGGGGGTGGTACACCATGGGTACCATTCTGAGGGGGGGGGTGACAAAATGCCGGCTGAACGCACCCACTTCCGGCCCCCGAAAGAAACCAGCGGCTTCGGGCAAACAACAATGCCATGCTCCTTTCCGGTGGTGGCCCTGGTGGGAAAGGAGAAGCGGGGTGGGGGTGGAGGCTGAGGGTGGAGAGAGGTCAGCGCTAGCCCGAACCCCCAGGCCACTGACCCTCGAGCCCGGCAGCAGCTCCACCTCCTCCTCTCCTCCTCAGTGAGGCCACATGACGGCCCAGCTATGTGCGCATCCCCTTGGATCGGGAACGCGCCTCCGGCTTGGACCCAGGTGGCAGGAGCTCACTGTTCTATTTTTCCCCTCCCCTTACCCCCACCTGCCTTCTCCTTTCCCTCACCGAGGAAGATGGGGGGGTTGGTGCACAGGTGTGTGTGGCTTGGTTAACTATACAAATCTCAGCGGGGAGGAAAAACAGCACAGAAATGTTTCTCCTCCCACACACTCTTAAAGCCAACTGCCTTGCTTGCTGCCTCAGAGAGCTAGGAAGCCTCCATGTAAAAAAACAAGCACCTATTGAGTCAGGGCCATCTTAAGCATATCCAGTGCTGTGGTTCAAAGATCCCTCTGGCGGCGCCCCCCCCATTTCCCAGAGTTCTCGACCTTTTCCCAAGCCTCTGCAGGGATCACTCTCCTCCAGCGGAGGCTTGGGAGGCAAGCTGCATGCCCGCCAGCCATATGGTTGATGGGGCATAGCTGGCAGGCATGCAGGAGGGAAAGGGGAGGCCACTGGCATAGCCACGCAGCTCCCCCACTTGCTGGGGTGCCCCTGAGAGGCCAGAGCCCAATAGGCTCTGTACTGAGCCATCCCACTTATCACCCCTCCAATATGTCATCACCCCCCCAAGGGAGCTGGGCCCCTAGGAGTTGGCCCCTATGTATGCCCCTTTGTCAGCATGGGAGCCTAGCCAATTGTTGAGGTGTCATGTCCTGAATTAGCTGTTTCCCCCTGGGCAGGAATCCCCGAGCGGCTAGGCCACATAAGGGTTAAGGGGAGCGAGAGAGCAGGGCTCCCTAGAGTGGCCTGGAAAAGGCCCCTCTCTCCGTCTCCCCGCCTCGTCTCATCTCCTCTCCATGCTTGTCTTGGGAGGCCTCGGGGCAGTGAGTCCTTTGGGTGAAGGGAAGGCGATGGGGGATGCAAAGGAGGCTGTTGGGGGACTGAGAGATGAATGGGGAGGGTGGGACCCAAGACCTCGCGGCATCCCCCTGGGACACTTGCCACAGGTGGTGACCTCCTGGGATGCTCGCCCCACCCCTGCAGGCAGCTAGCCCCGCCCCCATGGTTTGCTATCATGTGTGTCGTTCCGGGTGCTGGAGCACCTAGCTCCGCCTCTCCCTGCTCTACCTGGAAATGCCAGGGACCGAAGCTGGGACCTTCTGCATGCAAAGTATGTGGTTTACTAGTGAACTATAGTCCCTCCATATCTCCTGAATATACAGTGGTACCTTGGGTTACATACGCTTCAGGTTACATACGCTTCAGGCTACAGACTCCGCTAACCCAGAAATAGTGCTTCAGGTTAAGACCTTTGCTTCATGATGAGAACAGAAATTGTGCTCTGGTGGTGCGGCAGCAGCAGGAGGCCCCATTAGCTAAAGTGGTGCTTCAGGTTAAGAACAGTTTCAGGTTAAGTACGGACCTCCGGAACAAATGAAGTACTTAACCCGAGGTACCACTGTAATCTGAAGACAACGTACATCATCCAATTATTTCTTTTTATGTGCTATCATTTCACATGGGATTAAGTACCCTTAACAACATTTGGTGACACCCAAATTTAAATGTGAAGTCTCTGGGCAAAATACTTTTTCTGTTCTTTTTCTTTTCAGAACAGGAATTCATGGCTAACTACCTCCATAAAGGTATATATACATTTCCCTGTACTCTGTTGCACCAGTATGAACACATCATTTTTCCACAAAATAATTATAAGGTGGCCTCATTTCTCTTATTCTGATGACATTTGTTAATTTGATAATATTCACTATTTCAGAAGTTTCAATCATTCAACCAGATTGTTTCTATTTTAAAAATTATTGTAATTGTAATGAGAGATGCACGGCTGGATCTGATTTCCAGAGCCCCTTGATCCAGTCATGTTGTTACTTATTTCAACACTACACACACACACACACACACACAAATATATATATATATATATGCATACACATTCACACACGCACACACGTAACAATACTTTCAAGCTTCTCTAGACACCATCTGTTAGAAAAGCCCAACCAAGCTCTTCCTTAGTCTTCTTTACCTATTTCACCTTTCAGTTTTGCAATATTAATAAATAATTGCCAGTTACAAAACTCATAAGGATATTATTTCAAAAGACCTTGGAAGGTGTATTGAGGTTTAAACTTTTATTGAGGTTCAAAATTAAGTTTTGCCAATGAAACCAAGGAATAAATTATTCATGAAATACCATAATACATGAATAATTCAGGGTGTGCCTTTAATTAGGTCCTTAAAAAAATTCAATAGCTGCCTATCAGGACTTTAATGATTGAGGATCAAATCTGATCTTGAAAACAAAGAACTTTTGCTCAAAATCAAATTAGCTGGCAATTATTGCAGAACTTATTGCTATTGAACTGCTATCAATACTGTTTATGCCTTAGACACACAGTGCATTATGATGTATTGCACATATGAAATACCAAGAAATTAGAATTGCAGCAATGAGATTTTTAATGACAATACAGTGGCGTTTATATGATATGTTATTGGAGTTAGGGCGGGGGAAAGAGTTATGAATATTGAGACTTATCATTACAATGGAAAGTAATGCTGTACATCAGTGCATTATTTCCATAACTAGTTCCTATTGCTTTATTTCTTTGAGCTTAGAGAAAGACATGTTTTCTTTCCTACTGTCTTTCTTTATTATGTGTTCTTTCTGTAACATTCAGTTTATTATCAGTATTGGTATATAAGTATTGATTTTAGGACAATTGGCCTGCCATGGCCTAACATTATCTTAATTCCTTTTGAAAAATAATCTGATTACTTTGTGAAGGATTTTTTTTTGTCAGCGCCATAGGCAGCATCTTGACTGCTCTGGGTGTACATTTTTTTACAATACAAATTTTGGTGCATTTCAGATTCAGATGTTGTACATTGGATCGTGCAACACACAGGAAGATATGATACCAGAAAAGTTAATTCGGAAAATATGAGCTGAGAGGTACAACTAGTGGGGTGCTTAAGCATGGGGGCTCAACATAGCCCTCCATGTTTCTTTATTTGGGCCTGGGGGCTCTCCTCAGGCTACTCTCCCCAGCCCCACCCGCTTCTGTCCCTGCTTCAGATCCACCTTGAGTTTTTTCCCCCCTACGGCTGGAATGTGTCTACAAACTCTCATAATGTCTCTTGCTTCCCTGAATGGAAGGATGCAGGGGATGTGTGTAGAAAATAGCCTCCTTGTTGTTGTTGTTGTTGTTGCTTAGTCGTTTAATCGTGTCTGACTCTTCGGGACCCCATGGACCAGAGCATGCCAGGCACTTCTGTCTTCCACTGCCTCCCACAGTTTGGTCAAACTCATGCTGGTAGCTTTGCGAACACTATCCAACCATCTCGTCCTCTGTCATCCCCTTCTCCTTGTGCCCTCCATCTTTCCCAACATCAGGGTCTTTTCCAGGGAGTCTTCTCTTCTCATGAGGTGGCCAAAGTATTGGAGTCTCAGCTTCAGGTCTGTCCTTCCAGTGAGCACCCAGGGCTGATTTCCTTAAGAATGGAGAGGTTTGATCTCCTTGCAGTCCATGGGACCCTCCAGCACCATAATTCAAAAGCATCAATTCTTTGGCGATCAGCCTTCTTTATGGTCCAGCTTTCTACACAGAGGTAAAATTTGCATTCATTGCTCTGCCCACTTTTGCTTTTGGTCTCATCCAGAACTGACATGTGGTGCTTGGTCTGAAGATGCTTCCCACCTCTGGGTTATGGTCTCCAGATTCCTGATTAGTGAACTAATTGCCTCCCAGCCCTTGATTTGTGGAAAGCAATGATCTTGGAAGATCTCTGTTGGACTGATTCTTACCAAAAGCAAGTTAGGCATTTTCTGATCAATGGAAACAGAGTAGTAAGCATCTGTGAGAAGGAGCAAGAACAGAGGAACAACATGTCCTCCAACATTTCGCAGGGGAAAATTGGGAGGCACATCTTTCAAGGCCATGCTCGCACAGGAATCAGGTGAGAGCACGGCTCCCCAAAATGGGCGTCTTTGGGGCCACACACTAACAGGAACTAAAATGGGACAGCTGGGATCCGATCAGAAGCTGGGGTGGCTTCTGTAATTTCAGGATGTCCCACTCAAAGCAGCCCAGTTGATGGTTATGGAACAGCAGAACTTCAAGAGAAATCATCAGTAGCAATGGACATAGATAGGAGCAATTATTCTGTTAGGCTTCCCTGTCAATGGAAGTAGAACACTGAGAATCGTAACAACAGATCTGATGTCATACGCAGTTGGCTTTTTCAAGGCAATCAACTTTTGATGTCAAAGAGAATATTTTCTGTAGATTCCCTCCTTCACGTCTGTGCCTACCATATTAAGAACACCTGCACACACTATAGTGTAGACCCTGCAGCTTCCAATTTTCTTCCATTTCTGGTGAAAGGGAAAAACACACAAACAAAACACATTAGCTTAGAATTACTATTCCGTGTAGGAATGAAAATGCTGTGCAAGTTATGTCTCAATAGCCAAGGATATATTCCATTTGTATGTAGAACTGGGTCTTTAAATATCTGTTTAAAACAACAACAACTTGGCAGTGGTGGCACTTGGATGAAGTCTGAACAGGTGCTGACAAACCAAGAAAGACACATTGGAGTTGTGGCAGAAAGGTAGCTCAGACTGTGACAGTTTTAGGGTAAATGCAAATCGCATGCTAGGAAGTATTGGGAAAGGAACTGAAAACAAAACTGCCTTGTAATGTCTTTATGTAAATCTATGGGGTGGCTGCATTTGGGATTTGGAATACTGCATGCAGCTGTGATTGCCCCGTCTCAAAAAGAGCATGGGAAATATGAAGCAACTCAAATGGAGCATCTTGGTGTGTGGAAAGGATCAAGTCTCTGGAGCTCTCTTCATTTAGAGCATAGATTGCTGTTTTTCCGTACAGTTTTGGAATGTGTGGATTTGGTAGATACGACTTCAAAAGTGAACTCAGTTGAATTCCTTCTCCATCTCTAGGCTATGGTGAGGTTTACTTGCTTAAAAAGGTAAAGGGACCCCTGACCATTAGGTCCAGTCGTGGCCGACTCTGGGGTTGCAGCGCTCATCTCGTTTTACTGGCCGAGGGAGCCGGTGTACAGCTTCCGGGTCATGTGGCCAGCATGACTAAGCCGCTTCTGGCAAACCAGAGCAGCGCATGGAAACGCCGTTTACCTTCCCGCCAGAGCGGTACCTATTTATCTACTTGCACTTTCCCGTGCTTGTGAACTGCTAGGTTGGCAGGAGCAGGGACCGAGCAACAGGAGCTCACCCTGTTGCGGGGATTCGAACCACGACCTTCTGATCGGCAAGTCCTAGGCTCTGCGGTTTAACCCACAGCGCCACCCGTGTGGCTTACTTGCTTAGATAGCTTTAAAAGGGAATTAGACAAATTCGTGCACGGTGGGCCTGTTGGTTATTATTAGTCATAAGGACTGTAAGGAGCCTCCACAAAGGAGCTAGTTTTGCCACTAAATACCAACTAAATACCAACTAAATACTAAATACCAACTCCCTGGAAAAGACCCTGATGTTGGGAAAGATGGAGGGCACAAGGAGAAGGGCACGACAGAGGACGAGATGGTTGGATAGTGTTCTCGAAGCTACCAGCATGAGTTTGACCAAACTGCGGGAGGCAGTGGAAGACAGAAGTGCCTGGTGCTGGACACGACTAAACAACTAAACAACAACAACCAACTAGTGGGAACCAACAGCAGAGCTTTCGTGCTCACAGTCTGAGTGTGGTCTTCTCTTTTTTCTTTTTAAAATAAATTTTATTAGTATTTTCCACACAACAACAACAACACGAAAGATATCAAAAAATAACAATACACAACACACAAAAATCAACATTCGAAAACTAAAGAAAGCAACAACAAGAAATACTTCAGGATGGTCACTGTGGGAACCAGAATGTTGGAGAAGATGGACCTTCGCCTGAAGCGGCAGGGCTCCTCTTATGTTCTTATGGCACAGTCCTTTCCCCTTTTCAACATTTCTAAAGAGGCATATGCCTAATATTGCATTCCCCCCACACTTCACAAGGCATGTTTGTGACTTTAACATGCCTATCTGACTTATTAAAAAAGAAAACTGGGAACAGAACCCTTCTTCAGTAAACTATTCCAAACTTCCACAAGGTAGCCCTTGACAGCTGTTCTCTGTAATTCCCCCCCACCCCCGCAACCTATGCTGAAAGGCCCTGAAGAAAGTATAGTTAGCTGGGTAAAATTTACTGGCAAAGTTTTATTTGAATATTTTACTGCAGTGCATAGCCTCTGGTACTGCCTTCAATTTATTATCTGCCATTGAACAGAAGAGAGCCTCTAGTAACATCTGAGGTCTTGTGCTTCTGTTCTGGATGGATAGGGACACTTTAACCTATGCCATTTTGTTTTATTGAAATGTTCTAAGAAGTGTTTAAAACAGTGTATAACCATAAAGCAATAATTGTGGTGGAATAATCCATGATTATGTATGTTACGGGGGGTGGGGGGGACGGGACAAAAGTTGTCTGTTTCCAGCTCAGTTGTTGCTGACTATTTTTCTTCTCATTTTTTTAAAAAAGGCTTTTCTCTGAGAGACAGAAAATCTTTTAAAATTGTGTATGTTGGAGAACTGAAAAGTATTAAACAGCAGTGGCAACTAATGATTAATTTCAGAGCTATATTAACTTTTAACGACTGCGCCTATGGCTCAGGTTATAATGCTACTTTATCTTGTTTATGTTGAAATCCTAAACTCACTTCCTTAAGAATTTTGTGGGACTTACTTCTGAGCAAACATGCATAAAACTGTGTTTTCACAGTAATTCTGAGGGTAGTCATTCATGCTTTCTTTTACAAAGCTGGCAGTCAGACATTGGCTAGCCATATACAAATTAAGTAAAGTGAAGTGAAGTAAAGTAAATAATAATGAAGTCCTACAGTGTAGCTATGTGTCTTTAACTGCAAAAAAGTAAATTCCTATTCAGTGCTTTTTTTCAAAATAAATGTTTTTAAAAAGGTAAAGGACCCCTGACAGTTAAGCCCAGTTGCGAATGACTCTGGGGTTGCGGCGCTCATCTCACTTTGCAGGCCGAGGGAGCCGATGTTAGTCCTCAGATAGTTTTTATGGGTCATGTGGCCAGCAGGACTAAGCCACTTCTGGTGAAACCAGAGCAGCTCACGGAAATGCCATTTACCGCCAGAGTGGTACCTATTTATCTACTTGCACTTTTTGGCATGCTTTCGAACTGCTAGGTTGGCATGAGTTGGGACTGAGTAATGGGAGCTCACCCTGTTGCGGGGATTCGAACTACCAACCTTCCGATCAGCAAGCCCTAGGCTCAGTGGTTTAGACCACAGTGCCACCCGGATCCCCATAAAGAAATGTTTAGGGGTACTCTTATTATCCTACTCATATTGAAAAACTGCCCCTCAATGAGGCCAAACTTAGATTCACAAAATGTTTAGGAGTATGCGTACCCCCAGTCTACCCAGAAAAAAGTACTGTTCCTATTTAGGGGAAATGTGTGCAAGGCATCTCTGAGAATGGGTGTGGTATAGTAAATATGCCAAGTTTTAAATTTTCTTCACACATAAACCTACCAGCTGCACTTGGACAAGGTACATTCCTACCACAATTTCTTCTTTCTGAAATCATACTTGCAATGACTTACTTCACAGCAATGTTTTGAAGATTAATGTTATAAGTAACAATGATTATGGTGCAATTGCTAAATCATTTCAGAATAATAGGAGCACAAGCCTAATAATAATAATAATATACAAATTCTGCCTCATAGTATCTTGTGACAAGTTCCACAGTTAGACACTACAGTATTTTAATGTGGTGATTTAAGGGAATCCCTCATTTGTTGCTTTTTAGGGGCTCAGCCCGAACAGAAGCCAAGGCTTTCTTGTTGAAACATGAACAATATGACAAGATGAGGAAAGTAATAACAGTGCTCAGTTGGTTAGAACCTCTTAGCCAATAGTTGCACCAAGCTATTTATAAGCCTTCAAGAAAAAAGGGATCCTCAGTGCTACCTATACCCAATGTACAACAGAAAACTCGCTGGCAAAAATTGTAGCAATATATCAAAGGTTTTCTAAGTAAATGATAGACTTGCAGTGGGCAGACGTAGCAGCTATATTTTTCCTGCCTGCCTGCTGGCTTTCCTGTTTGTCACCTCATGCTGCTACATGCATTTAATGAAGGCGTGTGCAACTTCCACAAAGCAGAAAGGAGCCTAACAGCTGTGTGTGGTGACCCACCAGGGGCTTTATAAATATTCTGGGTTGACTGCCTGATTTGGATTTGAAAAGCAGAGGGGCTGTCATTCACCTGGCAAGACAGTTTAAGAAAGTAAACCCAAGAAAATGGTGGGTAGACTGCATTCACTTGAAAAGTCACAATGACACTATAAATCCAGTGCTTTGTTTATTATTCTTTTTCTTGTGCAGACTGCATTAATTCTTATTTAATCAATAACATTTTTATATTTTTTTTTTTAAAAAAGTTGTGCAGAACTTTGAATGACAGCCATCTGGCCAAAATGTACAGTAGCCACTAGTATATTTATCCAAAATGTAGATGCTTAAACTAAATCATATGTAAATGTAATTGTTTCTTATTAAATTCCACAGGTGTTCAAGCTGTATTTTCTTAGGGTTAAACTCTCTGAAAATACAGGCACAGTGTTTGTGGCTGAAATGCACCATACGAAAGCAGAATTTTAGACTTCCATTCATTGCTACATCTTTGAGAAACTTTGGGAAAGAAAATACGTGATTAGTAATTGTCAGTTCTAGAGGAAGAGAGTGCATTTAATAATAATAATATTATATTATTATTATTATTATTATTAATACCCCACCCATCTGGCTGGGTTTCCCGAGCCACTCAGGGTGGCTTCCAACAGAACACCAAAATACAATAACCTATTAAACATTAAAAGCTTCCCTAAACAAAATTTTATTTTGATACATTTGTGGACATAAGTACATCTAAGCATTGATATCTAATAGTTCCCTGATTGACTTCCAAATTGGAGAAACCTCCCTGAATGAATCTCGGAAAGCACAATGAGAGGAATTCAACATCATTCTCTTCTGATTGTTCCGTCAGTGCAAGCATTTCTGCTGATGAATTTATCCCCTCTCCTCGCCTTGTGCACTATTCTGGGGGTTCTCTGATCCTCGAGAGCAAATGTGGAGAAGGGGCAGGGGTTCAGAGGGAGAGGAGGAAGGAGATCCTGTTTAGCAAGAGTTCTTGCATTGACTTCCACTAGTGCATCAGGTTAAATGAAACTGGGTCCTAGTTGACAGTTTGCATTTTTTAGTGCAGAAAGTATTGATCTGTTGTCTAGAAATCTTTCCTATTCTAATTAAGTCAAAAGGGTTCTGGAAGCTTCTCTGTGTGAAAGAAACAAGCAGAAGGTGCATGATGTTTGGGTTTTAGCTTCAGAGAAATTGAATCATAGAATCATAGAATCATAGAGTTGGAAGAGACCACAAGGGCCATCGAGTCCAACCCCCTGCCAAGCAGGAAACACCATCAGAGCACTCCTGACATATGGTTGTCAAGCCTCTGCTTAAAGACCTCCAAAGAAGGAGACTCCACCACACTCCTTGGCAGAAAATTCCACTGTCAAACAGCTCTTACTGTCAGGAAGTTCTTCCTAATGTTTAGGTGGAATCTTCTTTCTTGTAGTTTGGATCCATTGCTCCGTGTCCGCTTCTCTGGAGCAGCAGAAAACAACCTTTCTCCCTCCTCTATGTGACATCCTTTTATATATTTGAACATGGCTATCATATCACCCCTTAACCTCCTCTTCTCCAGGCTAAACATGCCCAGCTCCCTTAGCCGTTCCTCATAAGGCATCGTTTCCAGGCCTTTGACCATTTTGGTTGCCCTCCTCTGGACACGTTCCAGTTTGTCAGTGTCCTTCTTGAACTGTGGTGCCCAGAACTGGACACAGTACTCCAGGTGAGGTCTGACCAGAGCAGAATACAGTGGCACTATTACTTCCACTGTAGTAATTGAATACAGCTGGTTTAAACTGGTTCTCTTATCTCTTCTGTCAAGATCATGCTGACTATAAAAGTAAGGCCAGAAGGAGCCTGGGTGTCACTTTCTCTTTCTATCTCTCTTCCTTCGGGTGTGGTGTTCTGTACATAGGATGCTTAGTGTTAAGGTTTAGTCTTATTATAAGTTATTGTAAGTTTAAGTTAAGTCTGCTGCAACTGGATTTCTTATGGACTCTGCCAATCCCGAATGTATTGGATTTGTGTGCTCATTTGCCTTCAATAGCTGTAAAGCTCTGCTGGATGAAATACAATTGCCTCTGGTCTATTTTCTGGGAATCCTGCAAGTTTTTTACTCTGCTAACTATACAATGGAATCTAAAGGTAAAGGTAAAGGGACCCCCTGACAGTTAAGTCCAGTCACGAACGACTCTGGGGTTGTGGCCCTCATCTCGCTTTACTGGCCGAGGAAGCTGGCATTTGTCCGCTCCACAGACAGTTTTTCCGGGTCATGTGGCCAGCATGACTAAACTGCTTCTGGCGCAATGGAACACCGACACCAGAAATGCCATTTACCTTCCCGCCGGAGCGGTACCTATTAATCTACTTTCACTTTTGGGTGTGCTTTCAAACTGCTAGGTTGGCAGGAGCTGGGGCTGAGCAACGGGAGCTCATCCCATCATGGGGATTCGAACCACTGACCTTTTGATCGGCAAGCCCAAGGCTCAGTAGAATCTACTCTGGATCAATACTGAGTAGAATTCCATGATTGACACAATTGTATAAGGTGCATGATTATAGAATTGGCATAATACAAGGAACATCAGTAATGACTCATAAGATTATTTTTTGTAAGATACATTGCCCTTTGGCTGAGCAATGCTGCAGCCCAGTAGGGGTCAAGCCACCCCCCCCCAATATTTTTGGGAGTGGGCCAGGCCCACCCAACAACTGGCTGGCTCCTCCTTCTCCTCATGCATCTGCAGCCCCAGCTCCTCTGATGTCCTGATGTCATTCACCTCTGCATGCTACTGACCAATGGTTCAGGGATGGAGAACCTGTAGACGTAAAGGTGTTATGGGACACCAAATCCCATAAGCATCAGGAAGTGATTAGCTATGAGGGATGAAGGATGTTGTAGTTCAATGACATCTGGAAGGCCACAAGTTATCCAACCCTGCTGTAGATCAAGCTGTTATTCAAGGTGCAGGAACTGGGAGTAGCTAGAAATCTGGTAATTCTGTCTGTATTTTAGAAATGACCAACACTGTGAAATTTCATTGTGAAATTTCAGTAGTTCCTCCTAAATACAGTGGTACCTCAGGTTACATACGCTTCAGGTTACATACGCTTCAAGTTACAGACTCCGCTAACCCAGAAATAGTGCTTCAGGTTAAGAACTTTGCTTCAGGATGAGAACAGAAATCATGCTCCGGCGGTGTGGCGGCAGCAAGAGGCCCCATTAGCTAAAGTGGTGCTTCAGGTTAAGAACAGTTTCAGGTTAAGAACGGACCTCTGGAACGAATTAAGTACTTAACCCAAGGTACCACTGTAGTGAAATGGTAACCAATGATATTTTGCACATTTTGCTTCTTACATTTTTACATCTTTTCATTTTGCAGTCTTTCTTTCTTTCTTTCTTTCTTTCTTTCTTTCTTTCGTTCATTTGTTCTTTCTGCCATAGAAATGGATTCTTTTATCCTTTGCTTGTTACCTTCAATATTACTCAGTGGTTTGTCATCAAATACCTGTTAATACTATCGAGGAATCTGAACTATTGCTGAAAGTGGAACAAAGATATGATAAAACTGTGGGGATGCAATAGAAAAAACAGCACCCTTGTGCAAGATTGTGCAAGAGGAAACATCTGCTGACTCTGCTGACTTGTTCCCCCCACACGCCTGGGTCACTGTCGCGCTGCCTAACCGCAAAGCTTACGCGGCTGTCATGCTGTCTGGAGTTATGTCCTGGTAGAGAATAGTTATTCTAAGAAATGCAAACCCTAGCTGTTTTCCACCCGAGTGCTACACGTGTATATGCAACATGATGTAATGTGCGCAAGGCTAATAAACATGCAAGGCTGCTGGGAGAGAGAGCTCACTCCTTGCTTAAACCTTCACCCATGACTCTTCGTCATTTTCCTCCGCACCTGGTGGGCTGGTTCCCCGACAAATGGTGCCCCGTGTGATTGCCTGAACGGCTTCCAGGACGCGTGCTGTCAAAGACGGTCCTCCCTGCTACTCACCCGCCCGGCTGTGGCTCAAGGCGCCTTCTCATCTTCGGATCCCCGGTGAGTAGCTATTTTTCTATTTTTATCATGGGTTCTGCGCTCTCCAACCCTCAGAAACAATTTTTAAAAGACATGCAGCACCTCCTTCGGGAAAATAAACAGCAAGTACCTGAAGGTGATCTAATTGCATTGATTCTGGCCATAGATGAACATTGTCCATGGTTCCCTGAGGACGGGACATGGGAAATACCAGACTGGGACAAAATTGGCGACCACTTTCATGGCCATGGCCGCATAAATCTTCACGTCCTCAGTGCCTGGGCTAAAGTCCGTGGCTGCATGGCAACTCTTACGCCCAAAAACATCCTCTTGGCTTCGTTGCAACCACAACAGAAACAGTCCTGAATATGCCTTTCATATATCCGGCTGCACCGCTTCAACCACCACCTTTTACTCCGCCACGACCACCAGATTATCAGCCTCCGCCGACGCCACTGGGGACTGCAATTAAACAAGCAGCCCCCCCTCTTAGGTCTTTCATCTGGCACGCCAGTGGCTAAAGTCATACTGCTCCCTGCGGATGCCACAACTCCTACAGATAGCCCCTTAATTGCTGCTGCAATGCCTCTCACAGCTCAGCGCCCTACATTAAAAATGACACTGGGTGGACGTGAGGTAGAGGGGGTTCTGGATACAGGGGCAGATGTTACTGTGATTGCTAAACAAGACTGGCCTCCCGAATGGCCCACAAAGGCAGCTGCGCAGGTTTTGGATGTCGGGGAGAAGCGCCAGCCTGTCAAAGCCTCCACCCAATTGATATCCTTGTGGCTGCGAAGCACATATCAGTGGAATTATTAAGAGACCTTACATCTGCCCTGACAGATTTTGGACTGTGTATTGCCCCAGATAAGGTTCAGCAAACTTTGCCTATGTTATATCTTGGACATAAATTGACACAACAAGCTGCCATTCCGGTTGTTCCCCAATTGTCTTTTCCTGCCCGCCTACGGCTGGTTGACCTTCAACAACTTTTGGGACACCTGAATTGGATAAAGAATTACCTTAATCTGCCTACTAGCACCTTGTCACCATTGTTTTCTGCCTTACAAGGACACAAACTACCCGGAGAAGTCATCCCAGTTACAGAAGAAATGCTACAAGCCTTACAACAGGTTAATGCTTTATTAAGAGACCGAATGGTGGATCGCATAGACACTCTGCACAATGTGCAGTTATCCTTGGCAATTTTTTCCACACCTTTGCTGCCTACAGCCATTCTCTACTCACAGAAATCGGCTGCCCCTCGGGTGTCAACATTGTGGAATGGATCCACCTTCCGCATACTCCACCGCGTAACATTTATTCCTCTCCAGCGGCTGTAATGGATTTGGTAATTAAAGGGCGCGCTCGAGCAAAAGCCCTCTCTGGACTGGACGTTGAAAATTTACTTGCCTTTTTCACTCACAGAAACACAACACCTGATTTCCACCTCCGTGGCTACTCAAGTAGCACTTGTGGATTTTGGGAACCATCACGCATAATCCCCCCTCTGATCCACGCCTGTCTTTTCTTTCTCAAACTGTCTATACTTTAAAAACTGCTCTCTCTCCGACCCCCATCCCCTCTGCCCTTACCCTTTTCACTGATGGGTCAAAAACGCGGGGGGTGGTGGCATGGGAGGAGGGTGGAAAATGGAAAACTGAATTTACTGAGCAACAGAGGTCCGCCCAGCGGGCTGAACTTGCTGCTGTAATCCTTGCCTTTCAACTCTTTCCTGATAAACCTTTTAATTTGCTTGTTGATACACAATATGTGTATCGCCTTCTGTCTTCCCTGCCTGTTTCTTATATCACGCCTGCGTTAGATGCTGATTTGTTTGTTCTTTTTTCTACCTTGCAGTATCTTATTCAAGAACGCCGTCATCCTTTTTATGTTGCACACCTTCGTTCCCACACCAATCACCCAGGGTTTTGGCTCAGGGAAATGCCGTGGCAGACGCTGCACTGCGATCTGAAGTGTTTTCCTTGTTTTCTGACCCTATTCTCTCTCATTCTACCTTTCACCAGCCTGCTAAAGTTTTGGCAAAAATGTTTAAAATCCCTATTGCACAGGCACGAGACATTGTCTCTCAATGTCCTACCTGTTCTAAGGCTCCAACCATGATTCCCTTTGATGCGGTGAACCCTAGGGGTACGTCCCCTCTTGCGGTTTGGCAGATGGATGTTACTCACACCCCTCTGCTCGCCCCATTCTCAAAAGTTCACTTGACAGTGGACACCTCATCTGGATTTATCTGGGCCACCCCATTGAAGGGTGAGACCGCTCGTCACGTCATTCAGCACACCCTGCGCTGTTTTGCTGTGATGGGTAAGCCACAAAGCATTAAAACGGATAATGGCCCAGCCTATGTATTTCCTCTCAGTTTTCATCCTTTTGTGATTTATGGAATGTGAAATTAATCCATGGTTTGCCTTTTAATTCAACAGGACAGGCGATTGTGGAGAGGGCGCACTTGACCTTCAAGACACTGCTGTCCAAACAACTTGGAGGTCGAAATGCCCCCTCCGCCGAGATTCCTTCAATTGTGCATACTGTTTTATTCACTCTTAACCATTTTTTTGTATCCCCATAATAGGGAATATACACCGGCTGGCTGCATCCACAGCACCTTCGAAGACATCGACGCTCAGCTAGCCATGATCCCAGCATTTTGTCTAAAACTAATCGTTCAGAGGACTATCATGCTCTCTGGACTGATAATACCTTTGTAAAAGACATGGCTCAATTGTCAAAGATTTTGAATTATACTAATTGTTGGACTTGCATGCACATTCCTCCACAGGCTCGACGCTCTGGTTTCGTCATTTATTGCTAATAGGCTTAGGATTGGTTATAGGATTTGTGTGTATTTGTTGTTGCATACAATGTGTTCCTTCGCTGATCACCCAATGTATGGGGTGGTGGTCTTCGTGACGCACTTCCTTAGGTGTCCCCCGCCGAGAATATGTTGCCAGATATACGCGCTTTCGCAATGAAATTTATGACTCTGATTAAATAATATAAAAAAGGAGGGCATGTGGGGATGCAATAGAAAAAACAGCACCCTTGTGCAAGATTGTGCAAGAGGAAACATCTGCTGACTCTGCTGACTTGTTCCCCCCACACGCCTGGGTCACTGTCGCGCTGCCTAACCGCAAAGCTTACGCGGCTGTCATGCTGTCTGGAGTTATGTCCTGGTAGAGAATAGTTATTCTAAGAAATGCATACCCTAGCTGTTTTCCACCCGAGTGCTACACATGTATATGCAACATGATGTAATGTGCGCAAGGCTAATAAACATGCAAGGCTGCTGGGAGAGAGAGCTCACTCCTTGCTTAAACCTTCACCCATGACTCTTCGTCATTTTCCTCCGCACCTGGTGGGCTGGTTCCCCGACATAAAACTGATTAATTTTAAATAAAAACAAATGTTAACAAATATCTACAGGAAAATCCCTAACATTTATATCAGCTCAATGAAGAATAAAAGATATAAAATAAGATACCTTGCACATGATTGTGTATGAAGATAATCGTTACCTGCTGATTACTGCTTCGACACAATGCAAGGTAATTTTAGCCTAGAAATGTGTGTCATCACTGTTCTCTGATACATATTGCTAATTATAGCTCTGAAGAGATACAGTGCAATGGAGGAAAAATAGTCAATGAGAATAAATAAGAGCTTCTGTAACAATGGAATGGGAGATAGCGATCTTCTTCCAAGCTAGGAACTGTTCAGGTATATCACCCAAAAATGATAACAAATTGGGATACTTCTCTCTTTCTTTTTTGTGAAATCAGGGCCATTTGCCTTACCTTTTAAAGCTATCACATAAATGCCCATCCACTGAAACAGTCCATGAGAAAAAGACCCTGTTAAGACTAGCCAGGAAACTTGTTAATACTTTAAGAGGATAAATTCTCCACATATTACATAACCAAGGATTTCTGGGAGCACTTTAAAAAATAAATTAATGTGAGTATAAATGTTACATTTCAAACCAGCTCTCATTTTACTTGAGGAATAATCCATAGTCAATTCTTGCCTTCTAAAAAAAATCAAAGAAACAATGACTTCACAGAATCCTGGCCAATTATGGATGGGTTATTTAGAGATCTATCTGGATTGTCTATTTTGCTATATAGAAATGCAGGACTATGATGCAAAAGGATGCTCACAGATTTGCTGTAGCGTTGGCTTGGCTGGTCTACAGCAACACCATTATGAAACTAATAGAAGGGGTTGGATCATATACACTGCTGGAGAAAGCTGAACTGTTTGGAAGCTTTTTAGTTCAGGGAAGAAGAAGAAAACTGTCCAATGGAAATACATGGCACAAGTTAATATTAAAATTAGAAATGTAAGAGGAAACATTAAAAGAGAGGTGAGTCTCCCTCTCAAAATTCTAATACTCAAAAGGCCTGCACAGGAAATATCAGGTTATGGAAATCAGATTTGAATTTTACGGCATGTCGTACATTGAAAGAAAATTACATGAAAACGATGTACCGGTGGTATTTGACTCCTACTAAGTTAGCAAAAATGTATAGGACAAGTACTAATATTTGATGGAAATGTAAAGGGGGAAAAGGTACCGTTTATCATATGTGGTGGACCTGTAATGTAATAAAAGCTTTCTGGGAGATGATATATAATGAAATGAAGAAAATGCTGGATATAACTTTTGTTAAGAAACCAGACGTTATTTTTTTATTAGGAATTATAGGTGCCGACATACCAAAGCAGGAGAAAAGACACTTTATGCGTGGAACAACAGACGCTCAGATACTACTAGCCCAGAGATGGAAAGAAGAGAAGGTCCCTACAAGAGAAGAATGGCAAACCAAGCTGATGGACTATGCCAAGATGGCAAAACTGACTGGAAAACTCAGAAACCAAGAGGACAAAAGCTTTATAAAAGAATGGGAAAATTTAAGTTATTTAGGAGACCACTGCAAGCTGATGGAAACAAAAGCAGAATTTTAATTTTACTTGTAGTGTAAAAATTATGATGGATAATATGGTTTGATATAAACATTGGAGGATGGATGAATATGCAGTAGTAGATGTTTAAAATGAGACCCCATGGAGGGGATGGGGGGAAGTCCTGAGATTCCGATAATCTCTTTATATAGATATATACAGTCATACCTCGGTTTAAGAACAGCCCAGTTTACGAACTATTTGGTTTACGAACTCCGCAAAACCGGAAGTAGTGTCCCTGTTTGTTAACTTTACCTCGGTCTAAGAACGGAATCCGAACAGTGGAAGGGCACCGGCAGCAAGAGGCCCCATTAGGGAAAGTGTGCTTTGGTTTAAGAATGGTTTCGGTTTAAGAACGGACTTCCGGAACGGATTAAGTTCGCAAACCGGGGTACGTCTGTATATTATTCTTTATCACCCTTTGCTTATTTGTATTTTGTATTTGTAAAACTAATAAAAATGATTTCAAAAAAGAGAGGAAATATCAGCTCTTGTAGGGTTTACAGGAAAACCATTCAGACTGTCCCCATCCTCATCATCTGGGCACACTTTCTCATGGGACGATCTGAAGGGGCAGTCTACTTGCTTTCCTTTCAATATGAGCAGAAGATTTCCCAAGAGTGGACAGCTTGCTTTATTAAGGTTCCCAATCACATAGAAGATTCTACTCATTTTTCTGCAAATGCGTTTAGATGGCCTCTTCTAGCTCTTCACCAATTAAGATGGTGGGATAGGAACTGAGAGGTCCTGTGCCTTCAACACAGAATAAAATTTTCTATTCAGGCATAATGCCTCAGCTGGGTTAATGTTATTTAACAGAATTGATTGTGAGTAGCTTCAGGAGAGACCCATCATGAATGTTCAACATTCACTGCTACAGAGCATGGTAACCTTAGGTGGATATCTAAAACGATTAGAGGAATTCATTAAGATTAAATCTATCGCTGGACACAAAGCATACATGGAGTGTCCATGCTTAGAAACAGTATTATCTGTTGCTGGGGAACAAGCTGAAGGGGGAAAAATTGTCACATGTACTGCCTGTTTGTGGGATTTCCAGAGGCATCTGGTTTGCCAATGTGGAAAGGTAAATGCGATGAACCTTTGACCTGACCCAGGTGGCCTACTTATGTTCTTTGTTCTTAGAGTGGAAAATGAAACCCGTTTGCAGAGTTGAAATGGGTGCTACATTAATATTCAACTCAGTTGCACCCCAGAGCAGCTGTTGCTTTGTAGGTAGGCAGGCATTGCTGTCTTGTGCAGGGCACTTCTGAAACAGTAATCTGAGAAGTCATGTGGAGGTTGCTCAGACTTTGACCCAAGTGGATGTGAAAGCACTGAAGCTTGAGACATGTTTTATTAGTCAAGACACTACAATTCTGTACTGCTTTCTGACAGTGAGAAGCTACTTGTAAGGGAGCCTCTCATTGGTTGCAGTGTGTGAATACTGCTTGCTTTTATGGATTACCTGTATTACAGACTCCTCCCATCACTGGTCACCACCAGCCACGTGTTGTTATTGTTGTTGTTTAGTCATTTAGTCGTGTCCGACTCTTCGTGACCCCATGGACCAGAGCACACCAGGCACTCCTGTCTTCCACTGCTTCCCGCAGTTTGGTCAAACTCATGCTGGTAGCTTCGAGAACACTATCCAACCATCTCGTCCTCTGTCGTCCCCTTCTCCTTGTGTCCTCAATCTTTCCCAGCATCAGGGTCTTTTCCAGGGAGTCTTCTCTTCTCATGAGGTGGTATTGGAGTCTCAGCTTCAGGATCTGTCCTTCTAGTAAGCACTCAGGGCTGATTTCCTTAAGAATGGATGTGTTTCATCTTCTTGCAGTCCATGGGACTCTCAAGAGTCTCCTCCAGCACCATAATTCAAAAGCATCAATTCTTCGGCGATCAGCCTTCTTTATGGTCCAGCTCTCAATCTGGCCTTAAATTGTATTGTTATGCATGCGCAACGCATATGAACCAAGAAATTAATTTAAATCCAGAAGACTTTTGAACAGTCTTCCACATGGTGTCTGGAAGATTAGATAAATCAGTGGCCTGCAAAGAATAAGCAAACCAGAACAAGGCATTCTATAATAATCATAATTATAATCATAATCATTTTTACCACGCCCATCTTGCTAGGTTTCCCCAGCCACTCTGGACGGCTTCCAACAAAAGATTAAAAATAATCAAAACATCAGTCATTAAAAACTTCCCTAAACAGGGCTGCCTTCACACGCCTTCTAAATGTCACATACAGTGGTACCTCGGGTTAAGCACTTAATTCGTTCCAGAGATCCGTTCTTAACCTGAAACTGTTCTTAACCTGAAGCACCACTTTAGCTAATGGGGCCTCCCGCTGCCGCCATGCCGCCGGAGCACGATTTCTGTTCTCATCCTGAAGCAAAGTTCTTAACCTGAAGCATTATTTCTGGGTTAGCGGAGTCTGTAACCTGAAGCGTATGTAACCTGAAGCGTATTTAACCTGAGGTACCACTGTAGTTGTTTATTTCCTTGACATCTGATGGGAGGTGGGTGCCACTACCAAGAAGGCCCTCTGCCTGGTTCCCTGTAACCTCACTTCTCTCAATGAGGGTACTGCCAGAAGGCCCTCGGAGCTGGACCTCAGTGTCCAGGCTGAACGATGGGGGTGGAGACGCTCCTTCAGGTATACT